TTACTCTCAGCTCTAAGACCCACCCATTCTACAAGGCCTGGCAAAGTCCACCCTCTCCACAAAGTCCTCAACAATACAGAACACAAAGTAATGTATACTTGTAAACTTAGAAATGACAAACTTTACTCAAAAATACCAAAAGGTTTATATTTGATCTCCATCTACATGAACATTCAGAAAAGTGATCAGTTCTATACTTTTCTGTGTAGGTATTCATTACAAACAACGGAAAAGCCCTGATACAAGATTTAATATGTCAACTGATAATCTCAAGGGGGAAAAGCTAGTTCTTTGTCTAAATATGATCCTGTATCTATCTGCTCTATTCTCCACCTTTCCACTCCCATAAGAAAAGTAATCTCAGGGCCTCCCCCGTGGCGCAGCAGTTGAGCGCTGGGCTACGAAGCTGCCCGCAGCCTCTGCAGTGCCGTTTCAATCCCCGGCCACTGGCCGAGGGTCCTACATGGCGAGCAGACCTCTCCTGCTGCCCGCTGCTCCCCTCAGCAATGTACTTCGTCAGTCTGCCTGCTCTGCCCTCCGCTCTGACTCTGGTGAATTCTCAGGCATTTAGGAGAAGTATACTAGTGTATTTAATTTAGCTGCGGTACATCACAAATAATAAAATGGATGAATGGCTAGCTAACTATGTAATAGGGCAAGAATAGTAAAATATTAATGGTAGAATACGCTTGCTGAATATGTGGGTGAACGCTATAAAATTCTAACTTTTCTATTTGAAGTTTCACAGTAAAATGCTAAAAAAAAACCCTTCTAAATGTTAGAAAAATATAAACCACAAAAATTTAAATAAAGTCTTCATAGATACTATTTCCTTAATAAAATTTTTTAAAGGCCGGTAAATTCGTTAGGGTAGATATCTGCAAAAGGAAAAAGTTGTTAGTGAGCTAATATTAGTTAATATCCAAGTCTCCACTCTAAATCCATTCTGAAGGTCATAGGAAGTTTACAGAACTCAAAAGTGTCTTTAGTTAAAACATGGTCTAATCACTAGATAGGCTGTACTATAATTGATTTACATGAAAGGGATGAGGAGAGATTCGCTATTAGTGTGATTTTAAACCAGTCGTTTTTTTAGGTATTCCTGTGCATAAGAGAACTAAGTTAGATTTGCTCATTTGCTGTTTGAAAAATCAGTGTACTCCACCTGGAAACTGCCATGACCATAACCTAATAAATTAATTCATATTGAATCCTGTAATTGATATAAAAATTTAATAAGACTATTTTGCCACGTGTTTCTCCAAAATGGAATTTTATTAAAATATCTGAGAAGAATGTAGATTTTTATTTTATAAAATGATCAAAGCCCCTTCAAATCACCTGTTTTAAAATTTTCTTTTTAGTTCAAGTCTCACCTTAAAAAAATTATAGCACTAACTAAGCAAAGGAATATTTGCTACATTTTGATCACAATTAATACAATAACTCCAATCATGAACATATTGTCAGCACTTTACAGATAAAGTCCACATTACAGGGAGAGAAAAAACATAGAAGAGACTTTCTGATTACAATTATATATGTACATAGCACAAACAGTCAAACTGGCACATTCTTACATATACTTTACTGTGCCTTACAGAATTGGAGAAATAGAAATTGTACAAATAATTTTTATTAAACTGGCAGGCTAGGAAGGGAATCCCCTAGATTTACGTGGACTGGCTAGAAGATTACACTCGCATCACTCAGAAGCATGTACTGTCTCCTTGGGAAAACAAAAGATGTGTAAATTAGTCTTTTGTGACTTACAAGTTGTTTCTAATAGATATTCTCTACCCACAAAAGCAACCACCTGACAACCATTTGCCACAGAGTATAAGAGGATGTCTACTAAACCACATTGAAATGTTTACCAGTAACTTGAAAAATCATCTATAAAGTTGTTATCCTGGCTTTGCAATGTCCATAAAAAGCAAAATTGTTCTACCTCATTAATTTTTCTATTGCTTTCTATAATATCTACCTTTTCTCTTCCTACTTTAGAATTTCCCACTCTGCTTAATACATACCCCATCATACACTGTTTAATTGCCCCAGCTTATCACATTTCAGACTTCATTCCACAAAGTTTTATCCAGTCATCTCTACTTAAATGTGATACTTTTCAATGAAAAAAGGCCCATACCCTCCCTCCTCCAAGTTTGATGAGAAAGAATAAGGGTGCCTCTGAACAGTTTCTGTGAGAGCAGACAAGTCACAATCACTCCCTCCAGCAGGAATAACTTAATTCCTTCACAAGCAGGCTTTAAAAAATAAAATCAAAGCCAAATGTGTGAAGTACTTTATAATATGCCAAGTATTATCATATTGCCATCATATTTTCAGGTTGGTGCTTTTTCTGGCTCCCCTTTTGTAGAGCGGACATAAAGCTATCTATAAATCTCCATCACCAAAAAAAAAAAAAAAAGTTTAACTTCTGAACCATCCCTTATATTTCTGGCTCCAAACTTTGAAACCCTTGTCAAACAGCTTTGCCTACCAACAACTGGATATATGGAACAGTCTTCCAACTATGCATAAACAATTTAAGTGCATTTTGCTACCAAATCTCCCAATTTAAAAAAAAATGTGGTTTGAAATCCAGCAGCAAACTCAGCAACAGTCTTCCAGGTACTCACACCAGCTGCTTAATATCGGATGGATGGAAAAAGCACAATTTTGGATAAGGCCTAACAATTTTAAGTTCCTTTCACTTATGAGTATCCAAAAACTTGATCCCCTAAAGTTAAAACCTAGTAGCAAATTAAAAAAACAAACAAACAAACAAAACCCTCCAAAATAGGTGCACTAGAACTTAATGCAAGAATTTCATTTTGAAATGCTTTCCTCTAATATATATCCCTTTACTAAAGGTGCTCCTCTCCCAAAGAATTCAAAGGATTTCAAAAGATTTGACTAAATAGATTTAATCACATCCACAGATTCTTCTCATCAATCTACAAAGTCATAAAATCTGAGAGTGCGTAAGTGCATGAAGATCCTACATTCTTAAAAAGAGCAAGCATTTCTCTTAACGACAAAATATCGTCTAAAACTAAGCCACTAGAGTGGCACCTGATTCACACAAAACTCAGCTCTTACACTTTACTTATCCAGAGGCAAGTGGGAGACAAGTTTCTAGCAGAAAATAGGTGAGTCCCTATTCATTTACCACCAGTTTGTTCTTCAAACACAAAAATCTTAAATTTGTTTTATTAATGTTGCAATGGATGATTCAGAGCAAAGTGGTAGGAACAGGGACTGTTCTAGGCAGGCTAGGAATGGCTATCAAAGTTCTGACTCCAGTGGGGGGCGGGGGGGGGAAACAAAGTTGCTGAGTAGCAGACAACATTTAATAAACTCTGAACTTACTTATCAACATTCTCAAGAATTATCTCTGCTCAATGTATCTCTCAGCATAAAGGCATAAAGTTATGTGACTCCTGGTACAAGTACACAAAACATTCTGAAACTACACCTAAAACTGCTACCTTAAAAAACACAAAAATAAATTTAAAACATACACTTCCTAGAGTCCAAAAGACCAATCAACCCAACAGCATTCCAGAGCAACTATGTACTTGAGGATTCCAACCAAAAGCGATCTAAGGCAAAGTCTCTTCTCTAGCAGAACTGTAAATAGTTCTTTCAAGTGCTCTGACTCGCAGGTAATAATAAAACAAACTTCATTTTCTGTTCTCCTTCCCATAGCATAACTCAACAACTTGTCATCACCTCTGACCTATGTCTAAGAGCTACCATGAAAGAAGTGTATTATTCCACATGCATTTTTCTATGAACGTGAGTTCTCATGGCTGACATTTTACTAAAAGTTCATCTTTCTCAGATTGTGGTAGGAGAAAAATAAAAAATAAAAAAAAATCTGTCCATATTGAATAGAATTAATAAACTCTTATCTGTGCCACGGCCCCGCTTAACCTAAGCTTTTTACCATCGCTAACTAAGCCTTTGGAAAACTTGATGCCAGTAAGTACCATCGAAATTCTCAATCAGGATTTCATGAGTTCAATTCACACCACGGCGAAAGAGCAAATGCTAAACTCCTAAAAATAGGGGTGTTAGGAGTGAGAGGGACACACAACATTCTGGCTGCCAAAGAAACGCGTCTCGGAGGGGGCAGGGGCGCGCCTGGTGCACATACAGTAGTTCACATGCAGCAACACCCAGGAGCGAGCGAAGATCAGGTGACTCCACACTACGGACACTTTCGGTCTGATCGGGCCTTACTACCGTCCAGAGTGACGGGGAAACCGGAGTGACCCCCTCAACGCCCCAGTTTGACAACTAAGTCTGGACTTGCATCCCAGCCACGCGCACCCCGCGCGAAAGCGGCTCGGGGGTAGCGGGGTGGGGGGTGCCCGCGGCGCTCGGAACCCGAGCCCCCACCGCAGGCACAGCCCCGGCCTGCAGACTGCGGCTCCCAGCTGGAAGGGTGCACGGGAGCCTCCCGACCTGACAGCGGGGTGTCAGCTCCCCGCGCGCGCCCCGCGCCCTCCGCCGCCGCCGCGGGGCCCCGCGCGCCCAGGCTGTCCCTTCCTGCCTTCCTAGGACAGCGCGCGCGAGCGGCCGCCGGCTGCGGGGCTGCCCTGCGGGCGCCAGGGCCGAGCTGGGCCGCCGCCGACCTCCCCGCGCCCCGGGGCTGCGGCCCCGGCTCAAGGCCGCCCCCTAAGGTCGGGGCGGACGAGCGGGAGCCACGCGGCGGGCGGTCGCCGGCGGCGGCGGGCGGGCAGGGGGCCGGGCCGGGCGCAGACGCGCGCGCCTCGCCTCACCCGCCAGCGGCCGGAGCCGCGGCCCCGGGGCAGCCCTTCCAGGCCGCGCGCGGCGGGGGCGAGGCCCAGCGGCCAGACGCGGCGGCGGGTGAAGCGCTGAGGCGGCCGCGGACGGAGACCCCGCCGCCTGCGGCCGGCGCGCGCGAGCCCCCGCAGCCCGCGCCCGCGCCCACCTGGGGCTGCGGCCTCCGCCCCGCCGGCGCGTACCTAGGGACGTCGTGGACGAGACGTGGTTAACCCCGTGCTCGGGTCGCTGGTCCGTCGCCGGCGCCGCAGCCCCTGCTGCCTCCGCGCTGCCTCGTCCCCCTCCGCCATCTTGTACCGATTTAAAATTAACTCCCCACTGACGTCAAACGCCGCCGCCGCTTTATCAACCTCCCGGGAGCCGGCGGGGCGCCGGCGGGTCCTAGCGCCGCCCCCGGTTGCGCCTCCGCGTCCTCCCCACGCCCTCCCGCGACCCGCCCAGCGGCCTCGCGCCCGCCTCCGCGCGGCCGGGCTGCCCGCGGCTTCTGGCGGTTTTCCTGGCCTTCCGCTTCGGGGAGGAATTGAGCGGCGCCCCCATCGCCACCGTCTCGCACGCCCACCTCCCTGAGCTCAGTACCACACCCCCTCAGCGCGGGGTTGGTCCGTGTAAACGCAGAGGGGATCTCCAGAGAACCTGCGCCTCCTTCCCAGCCCAGTCACCCGCTTCTCCTCACATCTGTTCTCCATAATCGTTAACTCAAGCCCTGCACGTGAGGCAGAGGTCGCACTCCTTTCCTTCTCTCCTTTTTATCTCCACCTCCTACTCTACTGCTAGTCTCCTCGTCCTCTCCCCCCTGCCCCCAGCTGTTGCCAGTGTCTTGTTTCCTCGTTTTCTCTGGGTCTTTACTGCAAGTGCTAAGGTTGCTTTCCCTCCAGAGACCACCCTATGGTTTGTTTGCAAAGGCTCCTGCATCTGTTCATGGGACCCTGGCCCGATGGATCGTCTTCACTGTGCATGCCTCGCCCTTCTGCTCCTTGCACCCTGCAGGAGCCAGCCAGCGAGCACGCCAATCAGAAAATGAATTGTAGCTGTTATTTTCCCTAACAGTGATGAACCTTCTTGTGAAGACCCAGTGACATCCTATAGGAAGTTCAGTCACTTTTAAAAATGAGTCTCAGCCTGTGGAGGCTTCAGTGAAACATTGTCTTTATTCTCTTGGAGTCTTTACCACATCACCAGCTGCATTAGAAATTCCTTTTCTCTGATAAATACAGGTGGCCAAATCACTGTCTTGTTCCAGTCTTCTCACAAGCCTAAAATCACCTTTCACCCCACCTAATCTTTAGAATAGCATAGGTGTCACTGAAACTTGCAGGGTGCCACTCTGTAGGGGTTTTCCAGGGCTGATTGTTTATTCATCTGTTTTCTGTCTTTATGGAAAGAGATTTGGACTTCCTCCTGATCTAACTCCTTCCTAAGTCCCTGTATCCTGGTGTGCCCCTGGGGTAGCCCAAGCTCCAAATCATAAGCCTTGTTTGATGATGGATTTCCTTTCATAATCTTTCTATGCAGTATCTATTTAAGAGCGTCCAAAATCTGCTTTACGCAAAGTGTCATCTTGGGTATAAGAAAAAAAAAAGATGCAAAGACGAATATTTTTGCTGTCAAAGAATAAATTTCCAGTTAGAACTAGCAGTTAACTTAGCACTGAGCATAACCCATTAGCTTCCCACTGCCAGACTGTGGCCAGATGCTAGCCACTGCTCCTGAATCCACGGAGTGTAAAGAAGTCAAATGCAAGTACAGTCCAGAGAGTATTATCCCACAATCACCTCAAATCCATATGATTAAAAGACCTTCCATTTTCCCCAGTCAGCAATCCTCCTCAATTTGTTATCTCAGTGAAACCACTGTGTTAGTGTATTCTACTCCTCTCCACACCTGGCAGTTCTACATGAAGCCAATTCAGACTTCTAAATCTCTCTTCAGCTCACCTCCTCACCATCCCCTCATCCTCTGTCTTGTTCCAGGCTCCATGCTCCCCTACTAGATTTATGATAACAACTTCCTGCTTTTTACCCCTTTATATATCCTCCACACAGCCCCCAGCTTGAGTTTTCTTAGATGCAAATCAGATCATGTAATTTATCTGCTCAGGATAAAGTTGAGCCCTCTCAGAATAGCTAAAGGTCTTTCAAGACTTGGGCCCTACCTATGTCTTGAACCCCATTTTTCATGACTGTCATTTATTCTTTCATTCTTTCATCTAACAGATGAATTGTGATACTGTCGTGGGTGCTAAAGAGACGGGTGATGAAGAAGACAGACAAAAAAAAAAAAAATGGCTTCCTTGAGTTTTACCTCTTTCCACACCCCACACAGTCCTCTCTAACACCACCACAAAAAAAGTGAGCTCTAGGAGCTCAAAGATCTATTTCACTGAGAGTAAATCCCCAACACCTAGACCAGTCCCTAGTGCTTAGCAGGCCCTCAAAAAATGTGGAATGGATAAATGAATGAATGAATCTGATTTTACCACTGATTCACCTAATATTTCTAAACTTTTAGGTCCTCATTTTTCATAACTGCCTGTATAACAGGATTCTCGCATGGATTAAGTCATAGAATATATTGAGGCCATTTCAGACTGCAAAATAGCTAACATTTATGAAATGTGCAGTGTTCTAGGCACTATTCAAAGTAGTTTACACTTGCCATGTCATATAGTCCTTACAAGAGTTCTCAGAGGAAAGCATTATTGATGTTTTCATCTTTGACATGGAGAAACTGAGGCACCAAGAGGTTAAAAACTCACCTAAGACTGGCATTTGAAGGTAGGCAATCTGGATCCAGAGCTTATGCTCATATACACTGTGACAGTGTTCAGCTTAGAGACTGTGAATTCCTGAGGACACAATTGATAGATTCTCCACAGCAGGTACTTTGAGATTCTGCCTTCAATTAGTGGAAACTGTATTAAAAACTAACTCTGCCAAATAAATAGTTTTAAATTTTTTAAATTCTAAAAATTACTAATAAAACAACCACATATAATTCACAAGAAAGGAGTCAGAAAAATGGATCTTAAACATATGAAAAAATGTTCTGTTTCACTCATCAGAGAAATGCAAATTGAAACAACACTGAGACACCATTTCTCACCCATCAGGTTGGCAAAAATTCAAACGCTTAGGATTACACTGTTGGCAAGGATGTGGGGGCGTACAGACACTTTCATACATTGCATTCTCACCAAGAATACAAAATAGTATAAGCCCTATGGAGAGGAATTTGGCACTATCCAACAAAGTTCATTTGCATTTACACTTGACCTGCCAATAGTACTTCTGGGCATTAACTGAGGATACAACTCCAATAATATATTTTTTTTAAAAAAAACTGCACAAAGTTATTCACTGCAGCATTATTCACAGTTGCAAAATATTGGAAACAATTTAAATATCCAAGCATAGGTGATTGGTTAAATAAACTACTATAAATACTCATGATGAAACACTTTGTAGCTATAAGAAAGAGAGAGAGAGAAAGATTTCAGAGAGGTATCCTTAAGTGAAAAAAGCAAAATGCCAAAAAGCATATGTGGTGTGCTACCTTTTGTGTGCAAATGGGAAATAGGAAGACATACATAAATCTACTTAACTGTCCAAAAAAGAAACTCAGAGGTTAAACAGAAAACAATAGATAGTTTCCTCCAAGGAGTGGGGCTGGGGACAAGGAACACAGAACGCAGTGACACTGCTCTTGGTGGGCCTTTTTGTATAATGTGAACTTTTGGAAACATGTTCTACCTGGTCAAAAAATAAATCCAATCAACAAGGACTAGTAGGGAGTAACAAAACTGAAAGCAAATTAAATAAATGATCATAACCATATGGTTGCTAAATCTAGGAGGGGGATATTGGATGAAAAGCAGACTATTTGCAAGTCTAAAAGTTTCTCTCCATATTGGCTTATTAATTGCAAAGGAAACGTAGAAACCACATCACGTAGAAACTGGACAACACCTTGGCTGAATAATTAAAGTTAACATCACCAATGAGGAGACAGGTGGACACCATGTACCTCCAGATGGGATGTCCTTCGAGGGACAAGGTCACTTCTGTAGGATTTCAGTCTGGAATGCACCTAACCATGAGAGAACCTAAAACAAAACTAAAACCAAAAAATTCTCCAAGAAAAAGGAAGGTAGGAGAATGTATTATTCAAAAAACATCAATGTCATCAAAGAAAAACTAGAAATGTTCTAGAGTAAAGAAAGCTAAAGAGACATGACAACTAACTGCAATATCGATCTCAAATAGGATCCTGTACTAGAGGGGAAAATGCTAGAAAGGACATTATTGAGTTAATTAACAAAACTGGAATAGATGATAGAGTAGATCAAAGAAGCGCATCGATATTAATTTTTTTGAAGCTGATTACTCTACAATGGTTATGTAAGAATATATTCCTATTTATTTAAAATACATACTGGAGGGCCTCCCCTGGTGGCGCAGTGGTTGAGCCCTAGGTTGCGAAGCTGCCTGCAGCCTCTGCAGTGCCAGTTCAATCCCTGGCCACTTGGCCGGCGAGGGTCCCACATGGCACGCAGACCTCTCCTTCTGCCTGCTGCTTCCCTCAGCAGTGTATTTCATCAGTCTGCCTGTTCTGTTCCCCGCTCTGCCTCTGGTGAATTCTCTCACACTCCTGTGCTTCTGACTGTACTGTATTGTATAAATAAATAAATAAATATTTAAAAATAATAATAATAAAATAAAATACATACTGTAATGTTTCAGGATAAAAGGTCAGTGTATATGCAACTTCCCTCCAAATAATTTAGAAAAATATTAGTAAGAAAGAGAAGGAAGAGAAAAAAAGAAATGATACAGTAAATGGGGCAAAATATTAACAACACTGAAACTTGTTAAAGAATATATAGGTGGCCTATGTCTCATTCTTGAAACTTCCCTGTAAGTATGTAATTATTTCCCAAATAAATATGTTTGTTTAAATTTTTTAATGTAAAAATAATTTTAATTTTCTTTTTTAAAAGGGCAAAATGTCAGATCTCTTTGATCAAAGATCAACCAATACTTACACTCTAGGTATTTCTATGCAGTTAACAAAAATAACTATCTTACAATTTAGCAATAGAGAAAAAAATTCTGTGAAGTCAAACAGAAAATCAGAGATTACAAACACGTAAAAACATGTGGACATGGAAAACACTGGAAGGAGATATATTAAAGGAAAGTGGTAGGTCGACATGCAGGTTATATTTATTCTCTATTTTTACAAATTTTCTTCTATATGGCCTATAATATTTTTAAAAATTATTTTGCAAGAGCCTCCTTTGCAC